TGCATAGGGCTACCTCTGATGGGATTTCCTAGGTCAACCTCATCCATTATGCCCTGGCTTGAACATGCCTGGACCCTGAGTTCATCATCTGACACCCTTCTCCAAGTACCTCTTGTGAAATACATTTGGAGAGGGGGTGACCAAGGAGAGGGCCTTTTCGATTGCATCCTCAGCAAGGCCTATGTGGTACACTCTGTATGTCAGGTTAAGTTGCACCTCTTCTCCCTGGCTTTGAAGGGATTATAATAATCATGTTTATTGCTGTTTGTGTGTATTGGGTGTGCTGTTTTATTGTTAAACTTGATGGTTGCTTTTAAAATTTGTCTATGAGTCATCTAGAGATGTTTTGTATTAGGCTACAAATAAAACAACTCCCCCAACCAGCACTTTGACTACTAAGTCTAACAGTTGCATTGCAGTGTAACAAATGACGTTTGCCAGAGTAGGGTTACATGGTTACTACGTATGTCCCTGCAGAGGCTTCCTTGGTACCCACATTCTTGAAATAATCATTCCTTTGTAGCCTTTTGAATTGGCTGCAATGTGTGTGTGGCCGAAGGGTGTTGTGTACGGTGCTCACAACAGTTTAGCTGGTTTGCAAATGTGTGCCCACTGGCCAGAAAAGCTTGATGATCAGTGTTAAATAAAAGGAAAATACTTTAAAACAGTGGGGAATAGCGAGTCATTGGAATAGGAAAAAGACATCCACTTAAAAAATAAACAATTCCTTATGGATCGCTGCTATGACGGATGCAAAGGCAAACTGCTGCTGCTTCCCAATCTATCTGGATGTTGTCAGACTACAACTCGCATCAGCCCATTCGTGAATGTTGGGGAGGGTGGGCTTCTGCTGTCTAACACAAGCAGTATATTTTGCGGCCATCAATAAAATAAAGATAATTTATTTCTTGTACACACAGCTCATCTTACTGGGTTGCCCCAGCCACTCTGGGCAGCTTCCAACAGAATACAACAGAACAAACCTGAGAGACCCTAGGAGTCAACTCCTGGGGACCAAGGTATCTTTGCCCTCCTTAAAATATTTGATGGGCAGGACCCCCCCCCAAGCTGACGAACATTGCCATTCAAATGGTGTGTGAGACCATATCTTGTGATGAATTGTGCAGGGCGGGGCTTACCTGGGCCACCCCAATATTTCCTTCAAATTGGCACCCCTGCGACAGGCCCGCCCAAGGAGAAGGAGCATGAATTTTTCTGAGCCAACACAAGCCACGCTCCAAGTGATGGAGCAGCAACAGGGTAGCCAATTTGAATAAAATATTGGGGTGGGGGGCAGGTAAGCCCCGCCCCGCATAATTGATCACATGGCAGGGCACACACACACTATTTGAATGGTTGTTTAGTTGTTTAGTCATTTAGTCGTGTCCGACTCTTTGTGACCCCATGGACCAGAGCACGCCAGGCACTCCTGTCTTCCACTGCCTCCCGCAGTTTGGTCAAACTTATGTTTGTAGCTTCGAGAACACTGTCCAACCATCTCGTCCTCTGTCATCCCCTTCTCCTTGTGCCCTCCATCTTTCCCAACATCAGGGTCTTTTCCAGGGAGTCTTCTCTTCTCATGAGGTGGCCAAAGTATTGGAGCCTCAGCTTCAGGATCTGTCCTTCCAGTGAGCACTCAGGGCTGATTTCCTTCAGAATGGATAGGTTTGATCTTCTTGCAGTCCATGGGACTCTCAAGAGTCTCCTTCAGCACCATAATTCAAAAGCATCAATTCTTTGGCGATCAGCCTTCTTTATGGTCCAGCTCTCAATTTAACTATAGGGACCTTTGTTGGCAAGGTGATCAGTCTCTGCTTTTTAGGATGCTGTCTAGGTTTGTCATTGCTTTTCTCCCAAGAAGCAGGCATCTTTTAATTTCGTGACTGCTGTCACCATCTGCAGTGATCATGGAGCCCAAGAAAGTAAAATCTCTCACTGCCTCCATTTCTTCCCCTTCTATTTGCCAGGAGGTGATGGGACCAGTGGTCATGATCTTCGTTTTTTTGACGTTGAGCCTCAGACCATATTTTGCGCTCTCCTCTTTCACCCTCATTAAAAGGTTCTTTAATTCCTCCTCACTTTCTGCCATCAAGGTTGTGTCACCTGCATACCTGAGGTTGTTGATATTTCTTCCGGCAATCTTAATTCCGGCTAAGGGACTCATCCAGCCCAGCCTTTCGCATGATGAATTCATGGTACTGCGCATCAACTGTGGTGGTGGGGAGTTCCAGCCCCCTCCAATATTTTATGGGGGACGACGACGAAGGGCCCTCGGCGCGTAGGAATTGACTCCTTTGCAGGGATCTCTGGGCTCCTGCTGGATTTTAGAAAACAAAAAGGCGCTTTAGAATTAAGCAAGCTGGTCGCTGCTTTCCCCTATGTAAGAACGGGGATTCCATGCGCGGAGTCTTCTGAGTGAGACTCGCGGCTGCCCTGGTCGACCCAGCGGACTTGTCAGTCCCGCCGCGGCTCCTCCTCCCGCCCAGAGACCTTTCTAGAGCAGTGTTTCCCAACCGGTGTTCCGCGGCACACTGGTGTGCCGTGAGACCTTGCCTGGTGTGCCGTGGGAGGGAGGCGGGAGAGGCGGCGCCCGAGATCGCTTCTCCCCACCGCCCCTTGCTTCAAAAGAGGTCCGAGATCGCTTCTCCCCACCGCCCCTTGCTTCAAAAGAGGTCCGGGGACAGCGGGAAGCGCTTCGCGCTGCCCCCGGACCTCTTTTGAAGCAAGGGGCGGCGGGGAGATCGCTTCTCCCGCTGCTCCGAAGCGGGGCGGCGGGAACACCTGCCCCAGCCGCCCCGCTTCGGAACACTGCTCCGAAGCGGGGCGGGGGGGGCGGGAACACCTGCCCCAGCCGCCCCGCTTCGGAACGCTGCTCCGAAGCGGGGCGGGGGGGGCGGGAACACCTGCCCCAGCCGCCGGGCATCGGAACGATGCCCCGATGCCGGGCGGTGGGGCGGGAACCTCGCACCCCGCCGCCGGGCATCGGAACGAGGTCCTGGACCTCTTCTGAAGGCAGGCGGGGGCAAAAGTCTTTGCTCCCCCCGCCTGCCTTCCCGGGACAGCGGAGACTTCTCCGCTGCCCCGGGCGATCTTAAAATGCTGGCGGGTGGGAGTGAAGCGTTCGCTGCCGACCCCCAGCATTTTAAAATCTCCTCGGGGCAGCGGAGACTTCGCTCCCGCCCGCCAGCATTTTAAAATCGCCCCGGGACAGCAGGGGCTTTTAAAATGCTGGCGGTCGGCAGCAAAGCCCTCCTGTCCCCGGAGCTTGCGGGGCGGGAGGTGGGAAGAAGGGCTTTTCTTCCCACCGCCAGCCTTCAGAACAGCCTTCTGAAGGCTGGCAGTGGGAAGAAAAGCCCTTGTCCCCCCCCCCCCCAGCCTTCAGAAGAGGTCGGGGGACAGACTGTCCCCGGACCTGGTCTGAAGGCGGTTTCCCTAGGAACGCATTAATTGATTTTCAATGCATTCCTATGGGAAACCGTGCATCGCAAGACGAAAAACTCGCAAGACGAAGAGACTTGCGGAACGAATTAATTTCGTCTTGCGAGGCACCACTGTACTTTTTATATAGTCAATATAGGCACAGAGTTAAATTTTTTAACATTTTCTAATGGTGGTGTGCCTCGAGATTTTTTTCATGAAAGAAGTGTGCCTTTGCCCAAAAAAGGTTGGGAAACACTGTTCTAGAGACTTGAGGGACGCGGGAGCAGCGGGTTTTTTTAGGCTTCTTCGCGTTCAAACTCGGAGAGAGAAACGGTGGCCCGCCGTGTGTGTGAGAGGGAGAAGAGGGCGCAGTACTCCGACTGCTGCCTTTTCTCCGACCCCTTCCGTTCGCCTCAGCCCTGGAGGCGGGAGTCCCTCGTCAAATCCCCGCAGCCCAGTCGCTCCCACCCACGTGAGGAGGGGCCGCCGCCTGGTCGTGTCAGGAACCGGCGTGTCGGTGCCCTGGTCTGAGGGGAAGGAAGGGTGAAGCAACAGGTTCCCGCGCGCCGGGCGGGGGCCGAGTGCTGTTCTCGACGCCGCGCTCAGCAGCAAAGCTGAAGGCAGCTTTGGCTGTGCCGCCTCCGAGGAACGGCTCCTTGAGCCCCAGCTGGCATTATATCCGGGCATTGCGAGGCGCAGAGGGGTCTCCCCGCCGTCTCGGAAGCGAGGAGCGGAGCTCGTGCGCCAACAAGGCTTTGGCTTGTGCCTTGCTCACGTGAGGCGACGCTTCCTTGCCCGACTCGGTGTGGCAATAGGTATACACGGAGGTGTGGTCCGCGCAACATGAAAGCTCAGAACCTCGTGGCACGTGAACACGAGTTGGCCAAGGACAGTTCGGAGTCCACCCCGCGGATTTCTCTCCCCTCCCCAGCCTGGCTGGCAAGCAATCCCAAACGGAACCGGCTGGAAGCGATGCGTTCCTCCGGGAAGCCGTGGTGGCACCTTTTGGGCCCGATCAGCGCGCTGAGGAGCCGGGAGGGGAGTCGATAAATGGGCAGGGCCCATTTCTTTTGAGCGCCTTTCAAAGTGAGGGAATGAGGGTCCGGCCGGCGGGTGACTTTTTTTCTCTCCACATGTGGCAAAAAAAGTATCTCAAGCGCCACGTCGACGACGCGCACACACGCAAGCGCGTTATTTTGAAAAACTGAAGCGATCCGAGGTGCGGCTGCTTGCGCGCCGAATGCAACAGGTGCTGAGCAGGGGAATCGCTCGCAGGGCGCTGCTGAGAGGAGGCGCCGCGCGAAGCAATGAAGAGGGCCCTTTTCGGCGCGCGCCATCCTCCTCCCTCCCCCTCCTCTTCCCTCCCCCCCCCCCCGGAGTTGGGGGAGTCGCCCACACGCCGCCTTGTTGCCCTAGAGACGGGCTTCCCCGGCTCTCGCTCTGTCTCTCCGGCGCTCGCTGGCCCTCCCCCTTCTGGTGGCCCCTCCCCCCGCCGCAGGGGGTCCAGTGAGCGCGCGGGCGGGCGGAGCCGTCGGGGGCTGGCCCGGAGAAAGGGATCCTCCCCCCCGCCTGCCTGCTGCGCGTGGCTCAGACGTCAGGAGGAGCCCGAGCGGGCAGGAGGCAGCGCCCATCCCCGCCGCTGCCAGAGTGTCGGCGGCTGCCGGACGGGGCAGAGGGAGAGAAGTGGGAGGGAAGGAGGCGCTTCCTGGCTGAAGCGAAGTCAAAAGTCGACGCGGCGCGGCAAGCGAGGGAAGGAGCGAGCGGGGGGCGGGGGCGCGCGCCATGGCCGACGTCTTCCCCAACCCGGAGCCCGGCGCGGGTCCCGACGCGGCGCGGGGCTTCGCCCGCAAAGGGGCCCTCCGGCAGAAGAACGTGCACGAGGTCCGCGACCACAAATTCATCGCGCGCTTCTTCAAGCAGCCCACCTTCTGCAGCCACTGCACCGACTTCATCTGGTAAGGAGCGAGCGCGGCCTCAACCCCCCACCCACCCCAACCCCCCGCCCGAGAACCGGGCGCTGCGCTGCGGTGGCTGCAGAGGGGGAACTCCAGCGGCGCTCCCTCGCCGCCTTGCCTCTCCTCCAGCCGGGAGCCTCGCAGTCTTCCACTCCCGGAGAGGCAGGCGAGGCGGGCGGGCGGGTAGGCAGGCTGGCTGGCTCTCTCCCCGCGCCGCCTCAGCGCTGTTAGTCATCTCCTTCCCTTCAGCCGCTCGGCCGACTTCACAGGTGAAGGACTTGGGGCAGAAAGAGAGACACACACTCTCTCTCTCCACCGGCAGGAGGAAGCGCTTGAGGTTCGCCGTCTCTCCGGGGGCTCCGTCGGTTCGATGAGACCCCAGCGCACTCCTTCCCCGCTGACAGGAGCTCTTTTCTCCGCCCCATGCAGTCGCATGTATGGGAGGTGTCTCTCCTTCTTATTTCCTCCTACGGAGAGGGAGAGAGGGAGGAGGCACCACCCCTGTGTGGGGTGGTTCATGTGGCGCTGCATTTTTCATAGGGGCACACAAAACTTCTGGGCCAGGCTGACCCAATGGACTCAGTTTTCCTGCACTCCAACTTGCCAGAAAGGATCTTTCTACTTTAAGGCTCTTGGGCCACCTTTTTCACGTGGAAAGAGAGCTGACTCCCTCCCACCCCACAAATATGTCAACCCATTTATCCACATCTGGAAAAAACCCAACACTGGTCCTTCTGTCCATTTCATCGCTCCGCTGACCACATCTGGGGGGAAAAATTAGTGCCTTTAGATAGACCTTCTGTACCACACATGCATGCGCACCCCATAAAAGCCCATTTGATTTCATACAGTAAAAGACTTCCACCCCCACACAGTACTGTGCTCTCAGAACCAAAAACTTCTCCTACTACGCAACCCGTTTTGCTGGGATCCTGGAATGACTCTTTTTTAAAGGGAAGGCTCTGTAGCCCCCTTCTTCTCAGCCGCCGCACTCTTGTGCTGAAGAGAGAGCCACACCAGCTGTATCTTCCAGAGGAAGCTGGTTGTATCCAGAACTCTGTTCATCACTCCCACTGATATGAAAGCAACTCCAATGCGAGTCTTTCTGTGCAGACCAGCACACACACACACTCTCTCTTCCATCTACAATCCTCTTCTTGGTCCTTGAGCCGGCTTCCTTCTGAAACAGTCTCACCCTGTCCCCCTCTGGACACTTAAAATCCATTTGCACTGATGCAGATGCAGACCAGGCTCTACACCAGCGGTGATGGGAAATGGTTGGCTGTCAGCTTTTGTTAGAGAGCAACTCCCATAATCTCTGGCCATTGGCCATGCTGTTTGGAGTGACCCATCTTTTCCAAGTTGGTTGGGAAGTGCAGATTTTCTCAACTCTAGCATGACAAGCTGCAGATTTTCTCACTCTGCATCTCTCAAAGTTCCCTCTTCTGTGCGAGTATTAGAGACACAGAAACCTTGTCCTCCGCATCTCGTTGTTGTTTCCATGAGATCCCGGTTTTTGTTCCTGGCACCTCCAGGTAGCACTTGGAACGTTGCCTGCTTGAGCTCTTAGAGGGCTGCTGCCAGTTAGTGCAGACAGTATTGTGCTAGATGGATTGCGAGTCTAACTGCGTAAGGCTGCTCTTTTGCTATTTCACTATTTCGTGTGAGATTCTTTCCCACTGTTGCACCATGATAAGTACTCTTCTATCCTTCACCTCCCACCCCAGATCAGGAAGTCAAGGAACTGGTGTTAACTGGAGAGCAACACCATCATATATTGGATTGCACACTGTATAACTCTCCCAACATCACAGCAGAAACATCTGGAGTGAGATTTGTCACCCCCACGCTGAAAGTGTTATATGCAAACAACACCAACAACATCTGCTTAAGGGATCGTTCTAAATACCATTCCGCCACAGGGGGCAACTTCCGTAAGCAGCTGCATGGTGTAGTGGTTAGAGTGTCAGACTAAGACCTGGGAGTTCAGGGTTCAAATCCCCACTTGGTCGTTAAGTTAACTGGGTGATTTTGGGTCAGTCGCTGCCTCTCGGTAGGGATTAGTTGAGGAGGGGGAGAATTGTGTACTCTGCATTGAGCTGCTTGGACAAAAAGATGGGATATACCGTATTTTTCTGTGTATAAGACTAGGTTTTCCCCCCTAATTAGGGGGATGTCTTATGCACGGATATCTCTCTCCCCCCTTTCTTAAATCTGAGTCCCCCAAAATAGGGGGCATTTTATACCTGGGGGTGTCTTATAGACAGAAAAATATGGTAAATGCAACAACAACAACAATACAAAACAGATGCAAGACACCCTCTTCCTCCATCACCCTCAACGGTCCTTTTTCTATGTCTCATCTTTGCCACAGGGCTTTTTTGGAGTTTCCTCTTTCCAGACACAAAGTTTCTTTGTTGCACAGACCATAGATACAAGATTTTGTATCTTACCATAGGACGTTGTAGGATGCTCAATGGTCCATCTAGCTCAGTTTTGCCCATGCTGTCTGCTAGCAGCTCTCCAGGGCTTCAGACAGATTTCTCTCCCAATCCTACCTGGGGATGCTGGGGATTGAAAAAATCTTATACATTATTGTACTCTGTACTGCACCAGCTTTATCTAGTGAGACTTCCAACTGCATTTCACTTGAGATAAAGAGAACCCTTCTTCAAATTTCTTAAGCTCACTGATGGAAATTGCCTTGTGTATTGTTCTATTTGCTGCTTTACCAACTTACTTAGGTAGAGGCTTAACTAACCAAGTTTCTGCCCCCCTGTCGTCTGTTGAAGTACAATTTGCTACCACCCTACTGCACCCTAAAGTTTACTGTACATGCTTATCTCTTGTCTATTGTGTGCAATCCATTTATTGACTCCAAAGGCATGCTCCAGGAGGATCCAACCCTTGCAATCTAATTATTTTCTGTAGCTGATCTCTTGCCTGCCTTTTTGGCCAGTCTGCACTCAAGATGTTCAGATGGCTCTCCCAACATTTTTATTTTTATTCACTTAAAAGCGGCTGAAGTGAGTAGGGTTGGGAGAGATTTTGAATTAGGTCAGGGCAGTAGTGCTGGAGGATTTAAGCTCTTTCCCCATGCTATTCCATCCTGAAGTAAAATTAAGGGAAAAGAACAATACCTGTATTATTTCCCTGAAGGGTAAAACAGCAGCTTTCTGTATGTGTTGACTGTAGATCAGGAAAATAGTGTGTGGAAATATGATTTTCCCCTGCCATGCCATTGGTCCAATCAAATTCACAGTCCTCCAAAGTAAAAATTTAAAATATCTGCAGATCTACTCATGGGGCTCCTATTATCATATGTACCGTATTTTTCGCACCATAGGGCGCACCGGACCATAGGGCGCACCCAGTTTTTAGGGGGGGGGAATTTAAAAAAAACCCCCCCCAGCCCCAAAGAGCAGCGTACAGGCTGCACACAACCTCTCCCTGCCAGAGGGGTTGTGCGCAGCTATGGAACAAGCCAAGGCAGCGAGCGGGATGGATCCCGCTTGCTGTTTCGGCTTCCCCTTTAGCCCCGTGCAGCCTCTACCTCCTGGGAGAGGCTGCGTGGGGCTAAAGAATCCATAGCCCCGTGCAGCCTCTCCCTGCCGGAGGGGTTGCGCGCGGCTATGGCACAAGCCTGCATTCGCTCCATAGGACGCACACACATTTCCCCTCAATTTTTGGAGGGGAAAACTGCATCCAATAGAGAGAAAAATACGGTAGTTTGGCTTTTGCTTACCTGGCTGACAAGGAAATTGTTGTACATAAATTTCACCCAGGGGAGTTATTTTCTGCTACAACCCTACTGTCTAGAAGTTTTACTTATTGTATGTTATGTTATATTCATTTCACTACTACCTGTTGCAATCCAACCTGAGTCAATGTACAAGTTAAAATGATTTTAAAAAGCAACAGCATAGTAACATTGCAGCATTAGAGGTGGTATCCAGCGAAGTACTTCTCCTAGCAGAAAGACTTTGGGCTGTGCCACAGAACTTCCCCTCTCTACTTATGTGCACCTTCCAAATTGGTCGCTGGTATTCCTAACACTAAACTCCAGAAAAGGCTGGAATGCACAAGTAGGCTTTTAAGAAGTGCTAAAATATATTTGCAGTTGTCAGAGCTCTGAGGGGACGTGATTCTGTAAGAAGGGGGCTACCACTGAGAAGGCCCTTCACGCTAGTTGCCCAACCCAGATGAACTTTGCAGCTGAGCAGAATATTCAGATGGCAGTAGGGAGAGAGTGCGACTCCTGCAGGTATCCTGATCAGCAGACATCAAAACCTTGAACTTATCCCTGTAGTTTATGGGCAGCCCATGCAGCTCCTTTAGCAGTGGTGTAATATGTGTGTGGTAGGATACTCCACTAGTAACCTTGTTACACAGTTGCAGCATTCTGCAGCAGCCCTGGCTTTGAGACCAGCCTCAAGCAAAGTCCCAGATGGTGGTGCAGATTCACACTATCCAGTCTAGAGGAATGTTCACAGCAGCCAGGCTATCCCGATCTGGAAACAGACATTGTAGGTGCCAAAGGTGGCATTCACTTATAGCTACCACAGCCACCTGAGCTTCTGTGGATAAATACAAATCAAAGACTACACCCAAACTGTGCTATTACCTGTTTCTGGAACCAAGAGCCACCCATCTCCCCACAGGACCTCCCAATGCCAGGACTGAATTACAGTGGTACCTCTGATTATGTACTTAATTCGTTCTGGAGGTCTGTTCTTAACCTCAAACTGTTCTTAACCTGAAGCACCACTTTAGCTAATGGGGCCTCCCACTGCTGCCGCACGATTTCTGTTCTCATCCTGAAGCAAAGTTCTTAACCCGAGGTACTATTTCTGGGTTAGCGGAGTCTGTAACCTGAAGTGTATGCAACCTGAAGCGTATGTAACCCGAGGTACCACTGTACAGTTTTTGGCCGTCATCTTAGCCTCTTCCTGCACCCATACACTTGTTCAGGAGCTGCCATAAGATGCCAGTGAACTCATAACAGAGTGCATTCTCTTTAACCGCAGCATAAGTTGTCCTACCCATTGAATTCATTTAGTTTTTATTTCTCCTATATATACTATATATATTCCCCTTTAGCACCTGGGTTATGTCATGTACACCGTGCTTGCATGCAGCTGTTCCACTTAACCTTGATTCTGTAACCACTTTGTGCATATAAGCATTTGTGTGCAAGCTGCCCTTCTTCTTACACAGCCCTGCCACTTTACAAACTCTTAATGATTCTGCAGTTGCTTAGGACGAGATTGCTTGGATCTCTTGCACTGAGTTTGGTATTTCCCTTTTTTGTGTTTCCTGTTGCTGCCTCTGGTGGGCAAGGGGATTTGAAAATACTTTTGCAGATTGCACCTCTTAGATGTGCATACTCATAAATAAGATTTATGCGCATAGCCGATATGGAGGAAACTAATAAAAACCACTCAGGAGCCACAAGGGGATAAAGCAGTGCTTTCTTTCCTCGAAACAATGTCAGGCTGTTACAATGCCAGCTAGCTGAAGTGGTGTTGTACGTCGTTTGCATGCACATATCTGGCTGTGGTTTAGACTGTAAATGGTTGTGCACCTTTCCTCCATGGACTCATCTTGAAGGAAGAAAATGAGTGTTCATGTTGTCTTATTGTGGATTGCTTGCATCCAAATACATCCATTTTATTCACATGCTGCAACTTATTTGTCCAAGAGCCCTTGGTATGGACTGGATACCCTGCCATTCCCATAGTATCAGCTATGAGAGAACCTTAGGACTTCCAGGTGTCAGGTCTATCCTCACAGGCAACCCTCCCTTTTACGCGCATTCAACATGTGTGTGACTGTGTGTACGCGCATCATGCTGAGCCAGAAATGAATTTAAAAATGGCCAAAATGGCCCCAGAAGAGGCGCAAAGAAGCCAGAAAAGGCACAGGAACAGCACCTACCAATCCCATGGGCCTTCACAGTTGCAACCCCAAGAGCCCTTGCACCAAGGATTGAGGCCTGTGGAGAGTTTGAGTTTGAGGAAGGAGGTTGGGAGAGAGGGGTTGTGTTGGAGTTTTTGCAGGTGTGTGTTTTTTTCTTTGAGCTGCTCTTTGAGATGGCACCTAAATGCACAGCATCATCAACTTCCTCGGGTGATGACAAACAAACCCAAGAGACAGCGAGTGGTGCCCATGCTGGAGGAGGAATTGGAAGTTGTGGACTGTTTAGCAGGCAGCATGAGCAGGTGTTATGTGGCATGCAAGTTTGGCAGGAAATAATCCAGCTTAAGTGCCATTAAGGTACGGGAGAAGAAAATCCAGGCATCGGAGGCGGTGAGTGCATGTACAACTACAACTGCCAAGGTCCCCAGCCATGTGCAGGATGAGGCCCTGTTGAAGGCACATGAAGCACTGAATCTGTGGCTAGAGGCCTTGAACTGCCAGCATATCCCCACTGATGGCAGCACCTTGCGCAAGAAGACTCTCAGACTGTATGTGCACTTCAGGCAGCCTGAGAAGGAGTTCTGAGCCAGTTCTGGCTTGCTGACCCACTTCAAACAATGCTTCGATTTGAAGAACATTGGCACCTGTCTTGAAACTGCATCCATGGACCATGAGGCTGCCCAAAAATGTCTTGACCAACTGAAGAGACAGAAGCGCCAGCTGCCCATCATCATGTTCTTCTGCAAGACACCATTAGCTCCACCAAGTGAGTCTCACCCACAGCCAAGCACTTTGGGGGTACCGGTCCGCCCTGCTTGTCATTGTTTGCAAATCGTCCTTCAGCAATGAGGAAGACTGAATGTCTCCATTGCCACCATTCCTACCCTGTCTGGTAGGGCTGCTGGTTTGTAAAAGGGTTTTTCTAGGGTTCCCGGAGGTTCAGAGGGTGTTTGCAGGATGCTTCAATTATACGCAAGGTGACTCGGAACATAACCCCCCCCCCCTGTAAATGGGGAGTTGCCTGTCCTTTGGAGGAAGCCCTACTGAAGAAAGCATTCTGCTTGTCAGATGATACTTCGAATCCGGTGTTTGTTACTAAATATTTTTGTATTGCCTTGGTTAGGAAGAGCACAAGGGTAGCTTCCAGTGTCTCCCTTTAAAATACACACAAGCAAAAGCTGAGAACTTTCTGTTGCATGTGCATTAAAGGAAAATGTATGGATTGTGAATGCGTGAACCCTTAATATTTTAGATATTTTGTGTTTGTTTTGTGCTGTAGTATCAGACTTTGAGTACTAAGTGTTGTCTAAGAAGTGCCGAAACAAAAGTTTTCTTGGCCTTGACATCCTATCACAGGGGAAAGCCTGTTTCTAAACCTATGCCCACTTACTTGTGGTAAGTTCTGCTTAATACAGTGGGGCTTATTTCCAAGTAAACATAAATGTTTGCATTTACAGCCCTTCATGATATTTATCCCAAGGCGGTTTACAATATAATTGAAATAAAACAATAATATACAATAAATAAGTTAAATGATGTGATTACATAATTAATGCAACACACACTTAAAATATCAGTTGAAGCAGTCAAGTTAAGAAGCATTCAATTCCAGTGTTTTAAAAGCATCCCAATACTATTTTGGAAGACAAACCCAATTAAAATGGATAGGATTGTCCTATGGGTCTACTGCATATCATTCCACTTCTGTGTACTTGTTGAGAAGTCCATCATATGGGCATGCAGAACTTTGGAGAGAGAAATGAGGAGGTGATAAAAATGATATAGCTGTTTACGTTTTAAAAATGCTGCCTGATTTACTTAATGTAATTAGAAGGGGGGAATGGGGGGGGGGAATGAAACAAAAAGAAGAGTAGAGTTATATAGATATAAAATTGCTGTAGGGCCCATTTAATCATGTTTATAATGATAGTGAATACATTTTTAAAACTTCATTGATAAAAGGCACTTAATCATAGGGTGCATTTGAATGGGGAAACATATCCTGTGGCTGGCAGGTGACAAGAAAAATTGTGTTCTACTGCCTTTTCCACCTAGGAAGGATTTTTAATATTCTTCAGAGACAGCATGCAGTAACCTTTTTCTGCTTCAGAGATAAAATATTGGTGCCTTTTTAATGAGAGTCTGGGAAACTTCAGAAAACCTGTGAATTGTAAATACAAAATTTGGGTAGCTGTTCTCTAAAGGGGCAGCACTGTTAACACCATTGTCACCCAATCAGTTCTTTTTTTTTTTAATGTTGCATTTTTTCCCATACGCTTGTAAGCAGAACCTGAGCTTTAAAAAAATGTTTAATTGTAGAGCGTTTGCAGTGTGAGAGAGAGAGCCTAGTGGAGGAACTACCACATTTTGGTCCCCTTCAATGAAGGATCAGGAAAAAGTCTGTACCACTCAACTTCAGTTTATTACTAATATATCTAGAGAGAGAGAGAGGGAGAAATTGCAGCCTTTACCCTTTCCTGCTTTGCTTCTGTGTTTTCAATACAGTAAGCCCGCAGCTTACACAGGGGTTACATTCCAGGAATAGCACCTAAAGCCAAAATTGTGTATAGTCAAAACACATTGGGTGCAATAGAGGGTGGGATTGCCAAAGTATTTTTTTCTGTACACCTGCCCGCTTTCCATTCCATTTTATTTATTTGCCAAGTTCCTAAAACTGAATTAGCACAAGTTAAATGTTTGTAGGTTGCAAGTGTACTGCACTTATCCTTAACTGTGTTAAAAATCAATAAATCAGAGATAAAGTAATCTGTTATGTGGCATCGTTTGATTACTCATTTTATTTAGAAGTTAGTTCTGTCAAGTATAGAAACTTTTAAGAACACGAAAAAGGGATGCTCTGATTACGTATTAGTAACTTTCAGTGGCATCAGTTTAGTTGTTAATTTAGCATTATTGCATTTGACCTCAACAATCTGGCTATCTTGAGACAGTTGCAGCAGTGTTTTTAAAAGGTGGCATGTATATAAAAAAAAATGGTGGTTAAAATAAACACCCGTCAATATCAGGATGGTTTTCACAAACAACATTGTTAAGCTTTGTTTGAATTCCTCTGTGTGTTTAATTTTATTCCCACAGATTTCTGCATATAAACAAAGTAAATGTGTGTGTGTGTGTTTGAAGTCTCCACTTCACTGTGGAAAAAACTTGTGTGTGTCCCATCCTACAGTGTTGCAGGCTGCTCCTAGCAAGTAGATTTGAGTAGTATAAACTAAGTATCTGTATATAAACACCTACGAGGAAAGTATTTGTATATGAGCTCCTTAATGTAGCCCCCCCCAATGCATGTTAGCAAAATAAATAACAGAGGTTCATGTGTTTTGTCAACTGGTAGAAATTCCGTCTGTCTTGCATCCTTAGATATAAGGCCAAGCTTTCTTTTTTGTGTGTGTGTATGTGTTAGTTTTTCACTTAGATTCTCTTAAAAGAAGAAAAGGCAGCAACCACAACAAAGGGGGTAGGGGGACTATCAAGGCCATCCAGACAGTTTTGAGAAGGTGAATAACTAGAATCTTGCAGCTCCAGTATTCTCACTGAATTCAACAAATCCTGGGAGATTAGGTGTTTTGGCCCACTTACTAACAAATGTATCTCACTTGCCAGTTTATCACACCCCCCCCCACCTGATATTCTCCTGCATCGCAAGTATATTTTGGACAGTAAAACAAGCCAAGGCAATTGATTCCTTTATTAGTTGTGTTGCTGCATACAAAGCTGTGGGCTGCATCCATCAAGAGCCATAATAGTATTAATGATATGAACCCTTACATTGTGAATATAATGCATAAATTGTATCAGTAGGTATTCTTTGCAAGTTGATTGTTCAGAATTTATTTTTGTTGAGTGTAAAGAGGCTGAGAGCAGAACCCTGTACAGGTCTACTCGTAAGTAAGCGCTATTAAACTCAGTGGGACTTACTTCGTAAGCAGAAGTTAAGAAAACTTATTCCTTTGACAGGAAATAATATTGCTGTTGCATATTACGACAACAACAAAAAAGCTAACTTTGTCTTTCTCTCTCTTCTTCCTTGCCTAGGGGGTTTGGCAAACAAGGATTTCAGTGTCAAGGTAAGTAAGTAATAATGGCTTCCATTTCTGCTTTAATCATGAAATCTAGGTGAAATATACCTCAAGAAGGAATTAATTATGCTAGAAAGAAAGAAAAGCATTAAATTATCTAAAAGGATGTGTATTATTTAATCATTTATTATCTCATGAACTGTGAATCATGCACAGAAGAGTTTCATTTCAGCAGAGTTTCCTAAAATTAAATGTCATGTAATCTGCATATAGAGCACTCTTTAATTTTTCATGAAAAGAATCTTTGTGGTTTATTTTTGTAGAGAACATTTTTCTTGTCGGGAGCTGCTGTCTCTGTGTGGGTGTTCTGAATAGTGGATTCGCTCTCCATTGGGCTTCCTTTAATGCTCTAATCCATCTTTTCTCTCCCTTAGTAATTTACATGGGTTTCATGAATACATTTAGGTGGACCTTTGGTCTTTATTTTAATCTGTTTATTCAACTGAATGGAGTAAATACAGTAAATTATTGTGAATGAACTTCAATTCAATGTCAATTGTTCACTGTTAAAATCTTGGGACAGGAAGTAACTTTATTTACATGAATTACCTTATTGGCCATAATATGGCTATATTTTTGTTCAGTGCTTATTTTCACTAAACTGTAGGATATGTACAGAACATGAAACCCACAAAGCTTCCTAATGTGAAATTAAACTATTGGTCTCCCTAGCCCAGCATAGTCTATGTTGAGACAACAGCTCTCCAGTTACTCAAAAGAGATGCACAGCTCCCAGATATTCTTCTGCTTGGATATGCCCAGGATTAAACTGGGAACTTCTGCATGGAAAACCCTACAACTGAAATTTGCCCTTTGCTCATATTCTTAGGTCCATAGCCTGATTTTCTAAGGTCTGTAGGTTGATCACCATTTCAGGTTATCCTGCATGAATCAATACATTTCTCACTTCAGCAACCTCCCTCGTCATAACTCATCAGCGTTCTTGTTTGCTAATTGTATATGTTACATTTTCCTACCATGGAGACAGGTTTGATTAAGTGAGAATAGCATTTGGTCTGATGATTTCATAGATTTTAGGGCAGCTGACAGTGGCAGCTGGTGAATTTTGGAGTTGATGTGACACTTGCAGGTTACCCCCCCAAAAAAAACCCTGTTGTTTTTGATCTGCTTATACACCATATAGCAGGGGTCAGCAAACTTTTTCAGTCCACTGTCCCTCAGACCTTGGGGGCGGGTGGACTATATTTTGAAAAATATATATGAATTAATTCCTATGCCCCACAAATAACCCAGAGATACATTTTAAATACAGTGGTACCTCGGGTTACATACGCTTCAGGTTACATACGCTTCAGGTTACAGACTCCGCTAACCCAGAAATAGTGCTTCAGGTTAAGAACTACATACGCTTCAGGTTACAGACTCTGCTAACCCAGAAAAAGTACCTCAGTTTAAGAACTTTGCTTCAGGGTGAGAACAGAAATCGTTCTCTAGCGGCATGGCGGCAGCACGAGGCCCCATTGGCTAAAGTGGTGCTTCAGGTTAAGAACAGTTTCAGGTTAGGAACGGACCTCCGGAATGAATTAAGTACTTAACCTGGGGTACCACTGTAAAAGGACACATCCTACCCATCTAAAAACATGCTGATTCCTGAATCGTCTGCAGGCCGGATTTAGAAGGCGATTGGGCTGGATACAGCCCCCGGGCCTTAGTTTGCCTACCCATGCTGTATAGGCATGTTTTGCTAGCATGGCTGGGAGATACACATGAGTTAAGTGTGTTGTGGTGACTAAGATTTTTGTACAGTGAGCCACGAATTTTTATTTGAGGAAGATGCTAAAGGGGGAATTAGCATTGGATGTCACATTGGCTACAAAAGGCAAAAAGCGCACTTCTCTCTATGGTAAAGTTTCAGAAGCAGGCATGGTGTGGTGGCTGAGAGTATGCGCCGGGACAACTCTAGTCCACATTGTACCTCAGCCATGTATCCACTGGGTGACCTAACCCAGCAAACTATTTTTCACTCTCACCCACCCTGTACCTGTTTCCAGGAGAGGGATGAAGAATACCAATGTTTAGAGATAATGTATGTGAAACACTTGGAATTCCTTGAACAACTATATCAGTGCTGTGTAGTATTTTCTATATAGTAGCCCAAAATTTGCAAAGATTAAGCTTCTACCCCCCCACCATGTCCTGTAATGAGAGCATACTGTTAGCCACATCTTCTCACCTGGTGTTCTTTAGTTTTTCCAAGGATACTAAAATGTGAATACATGGAGAGGCGTAGGAAGATCAGGTGGTACCTGGTGTGGAAAATTTATTGTCCCTCCATTGATTTTTTTTTTTTTGCCTGCAAAAATGGTTTTATGTTATTTCATATTTTGTTACAAAGAAATGTGGATTCTGGGCCCCTGATAACAAGTAACAATTAAAATTTTGAATTTGTAATGGAGGAAAAATTCTTGCATTAATTACAGGGTTGGCTTGTGCTGACAATCTGCTGAGTTGTGGTTGTATCATAAAACTGAAATACAAAACTGCTAGCCATTAAGTTCATTCTTCAGGTGTTTAGTTTCAGAAACATAGGTTGCCTTTGTATGTGTTAACTTTGCTGTTAACATTGACATATTTAGGAGTGTGCAAATGACCATTTAAAGATGCAGTAGTTTACAATGCACGTGCCTCGATTTCTGTCATTGTCCATGATTGATAGGAGCTTGGAATATTCATGAAGACTTGCTGACAGCCTTCATGCTGGTCAATGAAGTAGCTATTTTAGGCAGCTAGAATATTCAGTTATAAGCTGTCTAGGTGTGGGTCACCTGTATTTGTTGTACATGTGACTGGCTAGAATTTTGAACTGAGGGGATATGGATGGCTGTGTCTTCGTGTTACTGATTGAATAGTATAATAGTGTTATGAGTTTGTGGGTACTAGACTCCCCTAAATTCTTGGATCCAGTAAATGTTAAAATATAAGCCAGGCCAGTTTCCTGACCAGGAAATTGCCTGGGGTGTAGGCTGTTAGGAGAACAAATGGAAGGTGATGAGTCATTAAGAAAGTCATTAAGAAAGCAAAGGCTCTGTGCCAGACTGCAAGTGGGTGGGGCCCCTCCTCCAGATCTGAGTTAGTTCGAACGCAAAGGCAGAGATTGAGGTAGAGTGTTTCAGGCTGACTGGGATGGAGGGGAAAGGTTTCAGTCTGGTAAAGGTGGCTGGAGAGAAGTACAAGGGTTGATTTCTGTTTGAATCCATGGCTGCAGCTATGGGAGCAGCAAGACCCACTTGGAGTATTAATTTTGTGAGCCCCTCCATCGTAGGCTCAGGTTGTATATCTGTGTAAATAAACCATATATCATAAAGACACCACACTTTCCAATGTGCCTCCTTTCCAAAAGGAAACACGGACCCTGGGCGAGTGCCTGGGACCCCTGGAATCTCACACTGCTCAGAGATAGGAGTGTTGTGTGATAATATTTTAATAGGTTTTTGTTTATCAAAATATTGTACTTGGCTTATACTCAGAACAATAAAATATTTTTTTTAATAATAAATTTTATTAAATTTCAATGAGTTGAATTTTGCTGATAGGATGGTGCTAGCTGAAAGGGGAAGCTTTTTTTTGCCCTGCAGCCCCCTCATTCTCCCTGGCAAGTTGTGTTGGGAGACCCTCTAAAACAGTGGCAGTGGAGGAAGGCTGCAAGGGAAGGGGGAGCTGGCAAGAATTGTCTGCCTTCTTCTGCCAGAGGGAGCTTCTATTGGACCGGAGACCCACCTGTGAAGGTCCAAGTCATTGAGCTCAATCCAGAAGGTGAATTGATAAAGAGGAAGATACTGCTATGATGCTTAATTAGTCTGTAAAACAAGAACAAAAAGAGATGTAGCTTGGTGAGTGAGTGAGAAAGAACGCTTAAAACACAGTAGGTGGAAGATAACTAATGAACATCTTATTCAAACTCTTAAAAAAGGAGAGAGGAAAAGGTGTCTGTACAGCTACTGACTTTCATTACTATCCTAAATCCAAGCGCCTTCCAACAGTGATTTCCCCCCCCCCCTTGGGTGTCTTAACTGTCCAGTTCTAAAAATGCTTCCTGGTTAAATATACTTTGGATTGCAGCTCTGGTAAGGTCACTGTGAGGTGATACGTTCGAAATAGTGTTAGTAGCAGATAAGAACCGACTTGCAAAGTCATGCATAATACAACTTGAGACAGTTCAAAGCTTTGGGTAGTGTTCAGCTAAGTTTCACTCTGAGGAGACCGCTTAAAATTAATATGGGCCTAACTTGGTCATGGTCATTAATTTCAGTGGATCTGTTCTGATTAATACGTAGTTGAATGCCACACATTTTCTTGGAGTGCACATTCTCTCCAGCCACTAGGTAAAGCTGCCATATTCAGTTTCCATTGATATTTCCCCCCAACCTGGTACACTACCTAAGATTGATCTCTGCTTTGTGCATATATATGTGTGTGTGTGTGTGTGTATATATATATATATATGCTTTCGTAGATTTTCACGGGTACAGGAATGCAGGTTTTGGTGTCCTCGGGTGTCTTCCCGTGTAAAAGTTGGGGTGTCTAGGCGACGTTTCGACGAGGTCTCATCCCCAGAGAAAAATCATCCAGATGCCCCAAACTCTACGGCCTCCCCAAGATACACAAAGAAGGAACACCACTCAGACCAATAGTCAGCTCCATAGGCTCACCTCTACAAAATCTCGCTAAATTTCTCGCTAAGCAACTTCAGCCCTATGCAGAATCCATCTCTTCACACGTTACAAACTCCTTCCAGTTCATAGAAACAATAAAGAAGCAAAACCTACATCCCAATGACCTACTTGTGAGCTTCGATGTTGTATCTCTCTTCACACAAGTGCCCATTAATGAAGCCTTGACAGCCATTCAAAACAAATACAATCCCCCCGAATACATCCTGGACCTGACCAACCACTGCCTAACCAACACGTACTTCATCCACAATGGACAAAGATACAAACAGATAGAAGGAGCACCTATGGGATCAC